CCCAGGACACACTGAGTCTATGAGTTGAGGGGAACTAAAAACTCCTGGGCAGTACCAGGTACACTATTTTAATCTGGATTGGCAGCATTTTGTTCTGTTTTACATCCCCTCTTTACTCTTACCACTATTCAGTTTAATCCTATTAAAATTCATAATTTCACCCATTTAAACTCTGTGAATATCAGCAAATTAGCACTCCTTTCCCCAATACAGGTATTTTTATAATCTTGATAAGGATACATATTAGTTTCATTTAAATCTTTGATAAAAAATATTGGACAAAGCAGAGATAATATTGGAAAGCTGTGACATACAGAGGAGGTCTCAGTGCAAGGAGGCATTGATTTATTACTCATCATTCTTTGTGTTTGCTACAGGTCCATCTTAGCCTATCTTCTCGGCAAGGAGATTGCAAGAGATTTTGATAAATGTCTTTGTTAAAATAAAGATGTGATGTATCTATCACTCTCCTGCTTCTATTAAATGAGGAGGTTCATCAGTTAAATCCTCTTTTTGTGAACCCCTGTTGGCTCCCAGAATCAGATCTTCTTTTTTTTTTTTTCTATTCTTGCAAACAGGATATGTCCTAAAAATTTGTTAGCATTTTGTCTCAAGGTAACTTGACTGAAGTTTGGAGAATTCATTCTTCATCATTTTAGACTTTTTAACAGATCTTGCCGTTTTTATAATTAGCATGGTGAGATGCATTTTTGCCCACACATGATCTTTGAATACTTTTCTGGTTATTTCCTCATGAAATCCCTAGAAATGAAAATTTTTGTCAAAGAGTATACACTTTTTAAAGGCTTTCATGCAAACTGCATGTCAGAGATCCAATTTGGATACCCAGAAAATGCCTGTGAGATGCTCTTTTCTCTCATCATCATCAGTGATATGAATGAATTTTAAATGGATAGTTTAGTTGTTCTAGAATGTTCAGTGAGGAATCAGCCTCAGGAGGATGGACTTATAGCAACTGTGTCCAACTCTTTGAGAACCACACCTTGGTCTTACCTTCTTACATCTCCAGACTGGAGCTTTCTGATTTCTGGCAACTTTGACACTACATGTGGGGTCCTCCTTCCTTGGAATGTGGTGCTGTTCTTGCTTTATTTGAACCTGCCTGTTTCCCTAGTTTACTGCCCATTCCTCTTCCCCTTGTTTGGATTATTTCCCATCATGCATCTGTAGAAAGGGTGCTGGTGTGTGYAGGGTCACGGATCTGCCTACACACAGCTGGGTCCAACCTTGCATCAATGCCCTTAGTTGAATCCCATATAACAGTCCATTTTTTCCATGTTTGGTTTTGAATTATGGTTACTTTGTTGGGAGTGGGAGTGAAGGAAGAGTTGATTAGTAACTATGACATTTGGATTCATATGCCCAAATAAAKCTTGAGATGATTAAAATTCTGTAGGTGAAAGCTGTGCATGAATCAAGTCAAGTATTTAGAATATGCATATGTCATCTCTAGAGCTGACTTCTGCAGTCTGGGTGGTTTTGGCACAGAGGAGTTGTTTCTGTAAGAGAAGAAGATCAAGGGCATGTGAAGAATGACCTAGGGTTACTTGTTTTGTAAGATGGACTGGAGACTAAGGGTGTGTATGTTCCTCTAAAACATCTAGACCTGGACCAGTGCATTTTTTCCTATAATCCCATAGACTCAATCATATGTTATGTTACTAAATTTAAAGCAACCTTCAGATGTCTCTGTTCTGCATTTCTGTCTCATGAAAGTATTTTTTTTTATAATGTTCAACARCTGACTTCCCTTCTCTATGTGGTTCTCTTCTTGTTTCTTTGTCATAGTCTTAATAAGCAGATTCTGAGATCTGGGAATCTGCATCAAAAACATCTAGTACAGATTTCTGAAACATTATRGTTTTGCTCATGTTTTTTATTTCAGCTGCAGCTGGTAATAGCATGTAATGCCCCAAAGATTCCCCTTGTGGGATAGTAATTAGATGATGCTGTCACATGCATAATATGGAAATGTGGCTCCTGGTGGCACCATAGGTGAGAGAACAYATTCATGTCTGGTTTGTCTGAACTGTGGCCACAGTCACAGGCTCCTGTTTTCTGTTCATGTGCAGTGACTGTGGCTCTGACSCACAGCACTGTGAACTTGCATTTGAACACTTGGCCACTTTGGAGTAGCTGGCAGCAAGAACAAGACTATTATGAGAGGGGTTCATATCATCCACCAAGTGAAGGAAAAACAGGTTGAGCACCTGCTTTTGCTGMCTCAGTGAGGCCAAAGTTTCCTGAAGTGACATTGTATTATATATGCATTGATTTCTGCATATAAGATAATTAATTTGGAGATAGTAAAAAAGTGGTTCATACTCAAATCTATCAAATAATGAAATGTTGGGAGTCATTTAAAAATAATTACTCAAATAACTTATCTATATAAATGATAGAATCTGTCTGATTTCTTTGTGTTTGTATTGTGTTTGAAGTTAGCACAGTTTTTATTTTTTAATTTAATTTTTTTTACAGGCTAAACATATTTTTGACTGGCATGAACCCATTCTACTTTCACGCAGTAAATGTAATTTTACACTGCTTAGTGACCCTCGTACTGATGTACACCTGTGATAAAACCGTCTTCAAGAATCATGGACTTGCTTTTGTTACAGCATTACTTTTTGCTGTGCATCCTGTTCACACAGAGGCGGTGAGTATAATTGGAACTCAATGTAACAACAACCAAAACAAATGTATTCGTATGTATCAGCTTAACTGATCTTCATTTTTCTTCCTTTCAAAACGAGGTGAATTCAAAGCTCTACTGAAGTGTTTATCTTTATATAAAAATCATTCTGCTTGACCACTTTTCTTTTTGAATGTTCAA